GGATTCTTTATACAATTTCGGTTGTGTTTAATAAATTTTCATAAGGTGCATTGAAGATACGAAAAAACATTAAGAAAAAGGTGAGTGACATCGGCTTCACGTTTTCGAACCAGAGTGGAGGTACACGCTGCTCTTGACCGCACCATCACCTACCAACCGCATTTCACCCTGACCACCAGACTTTTTGTTCGCTCAAACAAGAACGAAAAACATAAATGCAATATTATGAAAAAAATTTTTGCCTCGCAGAAATTAAAGTTATGACACCATGTGGCAAAGCAGTGTGATGCCCCCATCGAATTTGTAGTCCTTGAAAAATGTATTTATATAAAAACAAATATCAGATTTGTTTATTTATTTGTTCACCTACAAATAATCCTTCACTCGTTGTATCTTTTATCGATTTTACCTATTTTACACTGGTCGGCCTCCCCTTGAGGCACCCTTAAATATTAATGGTAGGTTCCCCTGACGCTTGGTAATGGTACGAGGTACAACAATATCAACCCTGCAATCCGATTTTAGGGGTTTGAAAAACAAACTTTGATCACGGGAGGAGGCCCTTTTTATAGAACGCGCGCGCAACTCGTCATTTATTTTGTACCACGGATTTCTCAATATCATTCGTATTATTCGAGAAATGCAGGGTCCGAAGGTTAAACGTAATTGTAAGTTCACGTAAATGGTTAATTACCCGTAGTTCTTATTTATTTACATCAGTGGCAGGAAGCAAATGAGGAACTTCAAAAAGAAAAGTCGATCGACCGTCGTGATTCTTTGTCATTGTCAACCGACCAACCAACTACCACCCACTCATTCATTCGTCCTCTCATTCTGAGTAAGAAAAAAGAATCATGTTTCTCACCATCCACGTCGCACAGAATCTCTCGTATGACCACGGAGGACAGGTCGGAAAAGATGATATAAAGAAATTGTTTTCAAACAATTAAAAAACTTGTGAAGGACATTTGATTAATTAAATTAAATTATAAAGACGTTTTAACAATGATGAATCTCCGCTTAACTTATATAATAATAAATGAATGACGCCTTGATTGGTTGAACCATGACAGACGTCCTGATTGATAATTT